GTGTAACCTTACACTGCTTTGTTCTGTTTTGTGTTTTTCTCTTTTTCCTCTTAAATAAAAAAAAAATTATTTATTTTTGCAAAGGTCTTTTTGAGGATTCATGTATCTATGTTCATCAAGGATATGGGTCTGTAGTTTCTCTTTTTGTTAACTTATGTTCTTATCATGGTATGCTGGCTTTCAAGACTTACTTGGAAGTGTGCTTTCCCTTTCAATTACATAGAAAATCCTGAAAAGCATTGGTATCATTTCTTCTCTTCAGGTCTGGAAAAATTTAATAGTAAATACACAAGGTCCTGGACTTTTCTTATTTGGTAGAGTGTTCATCATTTCCTATTTTATTACTTGTTACTGATCTGTTTAGGTATTTTTCTAAATCTTCTTGGTTCAATTTTGGCATGTTACATATGTCTCATCAATTTGGGTAAGTCTAAAAATACTCATCTTTTATATTTTTCAATTTATTGAAATGTTTTTAAAATGGTGTAATAATCCATCTTGTGATTGTCACCTTATTTCTAATTTTATTAATGATCTTTCCTCTCTTCCTCCTTCCCTCTCTTCATCTTCCTCTTTTTATAGTCTCAATAAAGCTTTATCAATCCTGTTTCTCTTTTCAAAAAAGCAACTTTGACTCAAATTTCTTTAGTCCTAATATCATATTAATTTCTGTTCTGATCTTTTTTTCTATTTGGATCAATTGAATTCTTGTTTTTCTGACTTTGAGATGCACACATTACTTTTTCTAATTTAAGCACTTATTTCTATAAAATTTCGTGTAATTGTTTATAATAGATTCTGATTGTTGTTTCCATCATCATATGAATCTAGTTTTAAATTTTTCCTGATCCTTGACTCACTGACCTTCCAAGAGGGTATTATTCAATCTTGACATATACATATAATTTCTCTTGCTGTTGGTTTCTAGTTTCATTTTATTACAATGTGCTGAATTTTAATTCTTTTATGTTTAGTAAGATTTGCCTTATGGATTAAAATGTTCTATTTGGAAAAAAGTTTTGAGTGGCTGAAAAGTATTTGTATTTTGCTATTGATAAAATGCTCTGTAAATAAGCTAAATCCATTTGTTGTATGGTGTAATTAACTCTACTGTATAGTGATTTTTAAAAGTTGACTTTTTGTAAGAATGACATTTTAATCACTTATGATCAGATCAGTATCTCTATGTAATGCAATGTAATATAATATAATGTAATGTTTATTTTATGGAATTGGGCTGGGTGTGGTGATACTGAGCTGGGTTTGGATTTGGATTTTTACCAATACGTTAGTAATACGTAGCAATTTTGTTGGTCCTGAAAGTCTTAGCTTGAAGTCAACTTTTGTCAGACAAAGTATGTCTATTCCTGCATGCCTTGGGACTCCACATGCTCACCACATCATTTCCCATCATTTTACTTTCAGTTATATATGTCTTCTCAGATGAGACGTGTTTTTTGTTGGGAACGTAAAAGTAGCTCTTGCATTTTGTTCAATTTGCCAGCCTGTGACTTTTATTTGGAGAATTAACATCATTTACATTTATTATTGTTGAAAGTTATGCACTATCTCCTGTCATGCTTCTTTCCAATGTTTAACTTACTTTTCACTTCACTATTCTTGCAGTGAGGTTCATTCATCTACTCTTAGACACTATTGTCTTCATTTTCTTACATATGTTTTTCATAAATTAGTGTACCATTATATAAGGTCTTTATTTGTCTGTGTTCAATTCTGGAGGACAGCTTTGAATGAAATAGTAATCTGGACTAGCAACTTTGTTTCAAATTTCAAATTTCTCGCTCCTAATCTTCCTGATCTTTCAGGTTTCCATTGAAACTTATGGTGTTATTCAGATGGTTTTGCTTTTGTAAATAATGTGGTGCATCTCTGTAAGTTTTTAATATTCTTTGGTCTGAGATCCTGGCATCTTGAGTATTATTTGTCATGAAGATTTCTTTTCTGGTGATGTTTATTCAGGTTCTAAGAGCTTCTTTTTTCTGTGTACTGTTTCCAATGTTAGGGGAATTTTCTGCAGTAATGAGTGAACAATGTTTTATACTACATGGATAATCTTAACTGATCTAATTTTGCATGATGATTGTTTTAGCTTATCTATCTTCAAGAGCTGATATACTTTCTTCTGAATGATCTTGTCTACTGCTAAGACTTTTGTTTGAATCTGTGCAATTCACAATGGCTAAGCTCTGGAAACAACCTAGATGTCCAACAACAGATGAATTGGCAAATAAAATGTCATAGACATACAAATGGAGTATTACTCATGCATAAAAAGAAAACAAACTCATGTGCAGGAAAACAGAAGTTGAGACCATAATACTAAGTAAAGTAAGTCAGATATAGAAACTTACATTGTTTCTTTTATATGAGAATACCAATATAAATACACAAAATTGACAAGGCAGGAAATAAGAAGGCAGAATTTTGGAGATGAAAAAAGACCTAAGGGGGAGGAGAAGGTAAGAGAGGTGTAAATGGATCAAAAATGATCAAGATATGTTGTAAGTATGTTATCAATTTTCCCACATCAACAGCACCATTTTACATTATAAACATAAACCAATAAATAAAAAGGTGCCAGGAGGGGGAAGATCAGAAGTATGGAAGGAGAGAAATTTTCAGTTGAATTTTTTTACTTACTGAGAGTTTTCTTTTCAGAATTTGTTTCATAACTTTTCATCGTCTCTCCTTTACTTGATCATTTAAATATTCAGTTTTAAAAACTGTCTGAGATTTTATTCACTTCAGTATCTGTGGAATCATCTTTTGGAAATACATTATTTTTGGAAGGATCTATTTGCCTTGTTTTCTCATGAGTCTTGTGCTTTGGTTTTGGAGTCTGCAAATCAGTTGATAGAAACCTCTGTCACTATTTTGGAGGTGTTTTATAAGTAACTTTCTCCTTGTGACGTGCCCTCAGATTTGTGTGTGATTCAGCAAAAAGGCTCCAAGTAAACCTATTCAAAACACTACACATGAATCCTATACTTCATTGTAAGGAAAAAACAACTTCCAGTAATGTTCCAATCAATCAATCAATCAATCATTATCAACATGCAATTGAAAGCTTTCTTTAAAATTTCTTGATAGTCTTTCAATAACCTAGGTGTGGTGGATTAACTAATTATCAACTTATAATACCCAGCTGGACATCAGTGTGGTTCTGGGTGTCAAAAGGCTACCTGAGCATTGTTGCCAACAACCTAAAAAGGAAACCTGGAGGGGAGGATGGTGTGCTGTTGATTCTGTGAAGTTTGTCACACTGGTCGTCCTGATACGAATTCAGCTGTTCTCAGAAAAGCTCAAAATCCTTACTCTGAGGATGGCTGTGCTTCTTTTTCGGGTAATTCTTATCCTCCCTGGCTCCAGTGTAGCCCCCTCAGCCTGCTGGCACGTATTTTTCACCCTACTTGCACGGACTTTGTAGCTTCCACCACTGATCTTTGGGCCTTCCCAGTGCAGATCCGTGATAGACTTCCATGAGGCCTTGTTTGGGCTCTAGACTTTCAGCTGGATTCAGAGGACATTGGCTATAGGCTCTACATCTTCAGCAGAACTCATGCAGAACACTGCTGTGGGATCCAGGTTCTCAAGTGGATTCTTTGCGTAGTAGCAAGTAGGTGAATCTTTTGCATTTGACTCTTTGGGTGAAATTATAAAATAAACCTATAAATTATATGTCCTGCATTGTCTTTTCCTTTAAAAACCCTGGTCACAACACAAGAAAAACAAAAGAATTAATAATGGCTAGGTTAATAAACAGAGGAAGAAAAGAAGAAAAACTATGTAAAAAGAAAAGATTAAACACAAGAAAAAAATATGATTTGATAGTACTTCTACACTAAGAAAGGAAAATGAAGACCTGAGAGGCAATATGCAGGATGGAAAGAAGAAAATACAAATGGATACTGAGGAAAACTAAAATAGTATACAAGCAAAATCAAAAATTAACACTTAAGTTCCATATACACACATGCTTCATCTATACACTTTAAAAAAGAAAGGGAAAAAATTTTAATGACATCTACATACAAGAGGACAGGGAGAAGAGATTTCACAGTAAGTGAGGAGAAGAAAAGAAAGAAGAGATGCAGAAATATAAATGTAAAGAAGAGACATGTAGAAAGTGAATCCAACTAAAGATGACAAAAGATCTGATTTAGAAAATTCTACAATTCTTGTGGGAAAACAGAATATGATAAAATGTATTATATTCCAATTAGTGTGGCAAAGGAATTGAGGATAGCAGTGTATAATTTGATCCCAACGTCTAAGAAGTTGAACAATATCCCAACTGTTACACTATTTTAAAGGCTAAAAAAAAAAAAAAGATAAAGTAGAAATATTTTTCTTTAATTTCTATGTCAAACAGAAAGTAGAATAGAAAAAGGAGACCATTTATGAGTCTACTAGTAATCTATTCCAGCACTATTCATTGCACTGAGGATAGAAGTTGGTCATATTTGGAGTATTCTAAAACCAGAACCCACCAATTTTTATCAGGAAGTAGGATATTAGAAAGGAAACAAGTATGACAAATTTTGGGCAGAGTAACTGGTGCAATGAAATTGTTGTTAGTTAAAATGCAAATAATGGTAGATAAAGGGAGTTTAGAGAAAGAGCATTATTTTCTTTTGGATAAGTTTGAGATATTTATTGAGACATCTAACGAATTTAAAAAGGCAGCTTGCTGTACAAATGTGGAATCTAAGAGACATATTTGAAAAAAAAAAACTGCAACTTGTCAACATAGCATTTAAAGCCATGAAACTGACGAGGTCATAAAACTGAGTAGAAAGCGGAGGGAAATGAAAGCTCTGAGGAGAATAAGCTGAATTAAGGAGAAGTTTGGTTTTATGAAACCAAAAGCATATCAAAGAATAAAGGACAACTGGCTGGTGTTTATCAAAACAAAAAGAAACAAAATAAAACATCAGTGTGTTTTATAAAATGTGCTAAATGCAAATAATGAAAACGTGTTAAAGGAAAATAACCTTTATTGGGTAAAACAAAAAAATGCATAGTCCTACATTTGACAGTGTTCCTGAGAAACATAAATGCACAGTCCTACACTTGAAGTGGTTTGGAGAAATACAAATCATATTCTGGGGTCAAACCGGTGAAGCTGGCATCAATATTAGAAGAGATGAAAGTTTACTCAAAGGAATAAACTGTTGACTTTAGAAGTGCGAAACAAAATAGCATAATTAGGAAGCTTATTCTGATAACATATATACATATAAATATATATATGGAGGAATACTTTTGAAGTTCAGAAAGGATACACTTTAAAATCTTAAGTGATAAATTTTCAATGATGGGAATGTGCTACTTTAAGTTTTAGTATTTGCTATATTTTCTAATTTTCTGTAATACACATATATGACTTCTGTAATATTTATACATTTATGAAAGAAAGTATTGATTTGTGAAATCATGTTTCACTGAAAAATCATGAAGCTTGATAACTAACCTAGGGATAGAGGATAGAGTAACATGGCAATCACTGGTGACCTTGACAAGATGTGCTGCAGTGAAATTGGGGAAACAAAATGACTGAATAACTTGGCAGTGCCTTACATGTTAAACATAAAGAGTTACAGTGTGACTGAATAATTAAATTCCTTGGAATATACCCAGAAGAATTGAAAACATGTTCACACTGAAATTTATACATTAAAATTCACCAAAATATTTTAAGTACCCCAAAATGGAAACAACCCAAATGTCTGTAAGAGATGAACAAATAAAATGTCGTACAACTGGCCCACTTACTTGTTAGTTCCATAGCCAATATTGTATCAAAAATTTTGTAAAATAAATACATCTGCACTGAATACACTGTTTCCTTGTTATTATTTTCCATACAGTATAATTATCTATGCATAGTTTATACAGTATTAGGTATTATAAGTGATGAATGAATTATTAAGTTACACAGCAGGAACATATGCAAGTACTTATGTAAGTAACATATGCAAATACTATGCCATCTTATATAAGGTAATTGAACATCCATGTATTTTGGTAAACTTGGGGTAACCAATCTCCACAGACACTGAGGGATGACTGTATCAGTACAATGGAATATTATTTGGCAATAAATAATGAAATACCAATATATGCCACAACGTAACATACCTTGAAAATATTAACTACAAAAAAAAGTTACACAAGTAAATATATAATTTCATGTATACAAAATGTTCACAACACGTAATTCTATCTAAATACTGTGTTGCTTAGATGGAGAAGTGAGGAGTAAGGTGACTGCTTAATGGACATGAGCTTTGAGGATGTTGAAAATGTTCTGAAGTTAAGTATGGATAGAGGTACACCTTTGCATAAAATCACTTTACAAGGGTGAGTTTCACAGTATGTGAATATTTCCATAAAACTGGTACTAAAAAGAATCTAATTGATCGATTTGTTTCACTCTTGTTCAGTATCTTCTGCTTTACCATTTTTATTGCCATTGTATAATTCTTTTTAAATGTGTCATTTCCAGAACTTGTTCACCATTTTAATTACTTTATTCTCTTCCTCATTCTTAATCCCTATGTCCACACTAGTCTCATAACCTCTTCCAAATCAAAGATTAGCCTGACAGAAAAATGTATGATTCTATTAAAAAAAGTATACAGAGGTTAATAAGTAATAATGTAACAAGTGTTCAGATCTACTTTTCATACTATTTAACATGTACACATATGCAAAAAAAGGGAAAGAAGGAGAATGAACTGCTGCCCAGTAACATATCACTTTAAGACAATAATATATCAAACATTCAAACAGCCTGAATTCTAAATACTGTTTTGGATTTACAAAGTAACTTTGCAGAGTTATAAAATAACTATCTTTCACTCTTTAGAAATATCTCAAAATTCAAATAATGCTATTATAATACATTTTCTTTCATGAAATTAAAAGAAATGAACAATGGTGAAAAGAAGACACCATCATTTTATGGGAGACCAAAAGTACGTACACAAACTCAATCGTAAAGTTATATTTATGGCTCATTTCTTCTCTTGAGTTGCAAACTTTCAACAGTATATAGTAGCTTTATTGGAGCAACACATGAACAATTTAGCTAAAGATACAGTAACAAAAACCCTGTACAAATACCTAAACAAATACTTTAACTTACAGTTAAGACTGTAGAAAAATAAAACGTTTTTCCTTTCAAAACAGGTATCTAAACACAATGGTTCTGGTACCCTATGTGTTTTATTCACATGTCATGTGAATCAAATTTTTCTGTATTCCTTAAATTTTAAAATCAACTGATGAAAAAAAAAAAGTCTTACATTCAAAAACACTTTCAGAATGCATCTATAATCAACTTACAGGAGTCCTTCATAGTTTTGTTTTCCATGGTGTCCAAAATACCAAATGGAAAACTCCAAGAAATAATTCGTAAATTGTATGTCAATTCTGAGCAGTGCAATGCAATTTTATACTGTCCTGCTCAAAACATAAATCATTCCTTTGCCGTGTGGCCACACTGGTATTTAAGTAGCAGTCTTAGGTATGGGAGTGGGTATCAAGAACTGCAAGGTTCAATATTATCTTCAGTTTCAGAAAACCACTGGGATCATGGAATATAATATGTGGGAGTACTGTATTAATAAAAAAAGGTCTGTTTTTAAAAGTTATTTCATTGAAGTCTTTAAATATAGGACATTTTGTTATTTTTGTTGCATTTTCTTACGCATTTCTTCAAGAGCTGCTTCTTTCTCTCTCAGTACCTGTTTAAGTCTTCTTATTTTTTCATCTCGGATGGTTTCTTCCAATTCTGGTGGTGTTGCTGGGAAAATATCTTCAGTATAGTTTTTACTAAAGGAATAACTTTGTTCGAAAATTACATTTGAATTCGATGCAACTTTCTCCTGTTGTCCTTGGGAATAGTGTTTTATATTGGTTCTCTTTTCTTCTCCGGTTTTGCTGGGGCTTGGGAGAATGTTATATTGAGGTATATCTGAAGTTGGTAAAATGTTGTTAAGTGATTCAGAAGTGACATTTGCTTCCCCATTTATGACTGTATTAAAAGCACTCTCTGTTTTTCTCTTCTTTGTGTGATCCATCTTCTTAGTGGTTTTTGCTTTTCTTTTCTTACCACAACTCTATTGCAATGTGGAATAAGATTTAAAAAAGTTATTGCCATATATTTATATATAATATACTGTACTCTTAAATTTAACAAAGTTTGTACATACACATATTTAGCTATCAAGAAGAACTCAATGAAATCTCCTGAAGATAAACTATAGCATGAAAGAAACAGCTCTCACTGTGCAGTACCATGAGGTGGTACCTAATCACAGTCTCTGAGAACAATCTGCTTATTTCACTGTTTAATTTGACTGCTTAAGTCACATGTTACAAACCATACTGACCTTCTACCAAAATATAACAGTACTTGTGAAATACTTGAGAAATAAAACTGATTTTTTTCTCTTTTTCTTTGCAGTGGGTACATGTGGAAGTTTTTCAACGGGAAAAACTAAAGTTTGGAATACTAAATCATAATGACACATTCATTCATAAATATAGTAACAGCAGGTAAAGTTATTGAGATACTTCTTTCCATTACTAATGGTGATATAAGTTGCTTAAAATGGCTGAACAAATATTGCAATTTTCCAGGTTATATTTACTACTATTTTTGAATTATTTCCTTTATGTAAAGTCTCCAAAGTAGGATTAGGATAAGTAGTTAAAATATTATAGCTACTTTTTAATACAATGGAAAGAAAAAACAGTAGATGAACAATAATTTAAAATCTTAAATGGGGAGGCCCTCTTATCTGTGCATATATTGTTCTTTTAAACACAGTTTTGGTACAAGTATTTGTAAACTTGGTAACAATCATCATTAACACTAACCTCACAAGACTGAAAAGCAAATCAAGAAAATTATTACATTTATCTTTGCACTAGCTACAAAGGACACATTAAAACCTGTTATTACCTGTTTGTTTTTCTCTTCCTTCACCACAAACTCTGTCTTCCTGTATGTACCATCCGTCACCAAACTGCTAAGGTAATCAAAACCTTTTCCGCAGTCCAAATGGTCAGGAATTCGAGTAAGACAAACTCTCACATCTTTAGTGAGACCAAATATCTTTCTAAATTCAGTATCACTCTTCAAATACAACGCCTTATTAGTGCTTTCTTCAGACTCTTTCACATCCTTGCTTTCTTGAGTATGGTTCTCTAGCACTGATGCCATCTTATTCTGTATCTGGAATTAAGAAAAGAAAAGACAGACAATGCTGCTAATTACTAAAGTTATTTTTCACACTGACAACAAAGTGACTATTCAGTCTTCCATAAGAACACATGATGCTTTAAAGGTTTCTTTACTTTTACTTTACCACCCACATTGAAAACCTGAATTTAAGTGAATACAAATTAAAACATTCTTCTACAATCTCTCATTTAATTTGTTGTACAAAAAGAGTAACAGGCAGTCCATTTTCAAGCAACCAAAATGAGAATAGAATAGACACTAATGGCTAGTTAATAATAATCTACATTGCACTATTTAGATACTAGTTTCCTGGAAAAGTCATATGTCTTTTATCAATATTGTACTTATCAGAATTTACCTCCTTATGTCTCTGGAGCTCAATAAATTCTGTCCTGAAGGGGTGAAACAATAATATTACTAAGTAAACTTCTACATAAGGAAAATGTGGGTATAAGTATTTAGTAAGCATACAAACACACATAAATTCAGAACAGGAAGGTACTATGCATGTTGCTAGTGGATATGTTTAGTGGGATGAATAATTAGATTTTAAAAAGGAAAAAAATTGCCTACAAAAATTTAACAAAAGCAACAAAATGTATTCAAAGACGCTGATAAAAAAAATCCTATTTTCACTAATGACTAGAACGATTTTCTCTCCATCCAGGCTAAAAGGTATCGCTAACCATCTCCCCACTCTACATTAGTGTCTAAAAAAATAATGTCTCCTCACCAACATCACACAAAAAATAGAAAACAAAACCTCAGCCCACCTATATGCATGGTGATCTCCTTCCATACTAAAAGTAGGCCACTAAATATATACATGTATGTGTATATATATACATATATATGTGTATGTATGTATGCATACACAATTTTACTAAGTATTTGAAGTTATATTATCCTTCCCCAACTCTCTTATCCTTGTTCTGTGATTTTTGCTTAATTTTGTATTAAAGATATGCAGGCAAAATGATTTAAGAAAAAGATACTGCTTAGACTCTAAATTGTACTCAAGCATTTACTAAGATGAATGCTTTTACTTAATTATGTGTGTGATGATTAGGGGAGGAGGAAGACAGGTATCATAGACAAGTTTGAGAATTAAAAAAGGAAAAATTTCTATATAGATATATAAGAATATCCTGACATGGAAAAATTACCTTTGGTTCTTGGTCTCTGAAAACACACTGTTGTGAAGTAACAGCTGTTGCATCAATAGAGGAATTTATTTTCTCTATGCTCTGGATGATATTTCTTTTTCTTGGGGCACTCTGTTCTGTACTAAATCCATCTGGAAACAGTGGTTTTGTGAATAGAGTCTTACTCTGTTTTGGGTAGTTACTAGGTTGGTTCATATTATTTGGGTCTGTGGTAGAAAGAGATGGTTTCTCCACTTTTTTATTCTTCTCTGAACTTACATTGACCATGGAAGAAATCTGAGTATTTGAAAGTGATTTTCTCTCCATCTGGGAAGATTTACTTTTAGCTAAAACAATATTTACAACCTCTTTGGATATTTCTGTGACTGGACTTGAACTCACTATCTGTGATGTGTCTTTTCTTAGTGAAGCATCAACAGAAATAGAATTCTGGTCAGTTTGTGATGGCAGAGTATCCACTCCCTTTTTAGCCAACAGATAGACCTTCCCCTTAAACATAACCAATGCATTATCTCTTAAAGGCATATTTATAGATTGTGTCCCACTAAGTGACATACTAATAGTATTATCTCCCAAACTTTTCCCATCTACAAAACTTTTTAAAATTTTTGATGCCACATTATTTGAAGATTTAACAGGAACAAGAGATGGAGTACAAGGTTGTAGATGTTCTTGAAAAATCCATTTCACTGGAGTAGCTTGAGAATGCTGACCACCTTTTAATTGTGTCTCTGTAGCAACTTTTGCTCGAATTTGTGTGGTATTGAGTATCATTGGTTTTGGTATTTCTCTAACAGGTTTTGGGTAAATATTTTGACAGTTCTTGGTAACTACACTTTTTACTGTATTTACAGGAGCTACATAAATAACTGTTGGTATTTGGGAGGCCTCAACTGTTCCTGAGGTACTGTTGGTTGCAGCTGTAAGTATCTTTTGCTGAACTGAAGGAGGCAATGATGATGCAGGTATAGACTTCACTTCAGCATGGGCTGGAATCTGTAAATGATGCCCAGAAGGCAAAACTGGAGATTTCACAGTCATTGGAAGACTTGAGGGATTGAATACAATGTAAGATGAATCACTTTGTGTTGAGGGAGGAACAGCATATGGTTTCATGGTGGGTCCATCAAGTTTCACACCATGACTCTTAACTTTAGAAAATGAAGAAACAAAATTTTCAGTTCCCAGAGAAGTAACTCTACCTTTTTCTGCTGTATCTACTGTTCTTGTAAGAAAATAGCTTGAAGAATTGGCTGGCTGTAAAATGGGCAATTGAACTGACGTACTTGTGGAGGAGCTGGAAATCTGATTCTGAAAAGTAACTTGCACTGGTTTTCCTGTATTCCCTCTCAAAGCATCAGATATGACTGGAGATTGAACTAGTGGAACAAGATTTCCAGAAGAATTAGGAATTGGAAGTAACTGCAGAAGATTTTTTCCATCCGAGCCAATCGTCTGAACTACTTGGTACATGCAGCCTGAAACACTTAAAAGAACATTTTGAGTAAATAAATACAGCATACTCATGGTATACACATTTTATTTTGAAATTAGTATTTGCAAATATTATCTTAAATATTAAACGAATACGATTTCCTATTTTCAATGTCAAAGTGAAATATTGCAAACCAAATTTACTGAAGAAGAAATATAGTCAACTCAGGTTGAGACCTCTTCACAAAATTACACAATGAATATGAGATAGCAGTATTTATTATTTTGCTCTGTATAATATAATGGTACTAGAATAGACTCATTCCTTCTCCTTAAATTCTTTTTTCTTGTTTTTCTTTTACTGTTACTATGCAGTAATTTCACCTCTAATTATTTGATTTCTCTATTTTTAACTTCCAACTCTGTTATATCTTCTTCACACTGACAATGACTCACAAGTTCTTATTATCACTTTATTTTCCTTAAGACATCTTACGATGACATCTAGTTTGCCACATTTTTGTACTGTAGACTTAACAGTTACTCATACAAGACAACTTTCTGAGTATTGCTTATTGTTTCAGCACATTTAAGGTTTAGTGTTAAATAAGTTTTAAATACAGCAATTATTTAGTTTATCATCAATTACCTATCAGTTCATACAAGTTTACATACAATCAACACCATGGGAATTTTATGTATAATAAATACCATGGTAATTTTAGCTGAATAGTTTTTATAAAGATGACCAGAATGGACACCAGTATTTTTTGAACATAGCTAATTTTGATGCCCATGCTTATGAGTTGTTTCTTAAAACAGATTGTCATACTTCAAGAAAAGCCAACATATACTAATCCATTTGTATAATCAATGACTACAGGATTGCCTGAATATAAACATCTCAAAATATTTATACTAAAACAATCTTGCAGTTTCTGGAAAATACGTAGATCTTAAGGGACTTTAGGATTTATCATGTTTAGATAACCCCCACACATCATTTTTCATAGATTTCAAGTATCAACATAAATAATACTTTCTAAGAGATAATTCTCTGGCTAACTTAACTATCTTTGTCATTCCTTTACAATTAACCTATAATATACCAGTTAATTTGCTTCATGAGTTGTATCACAAGTTGTCACTATCAACCAGCGTTACCTACATACTTCCTTACATGCTAAATTCTTGCAACACAAACGCACAGTACATGGTTCACAAACAAATTATTGTCTTAGATGAGATGACAAAGACCAAATAAAGAAAAAACATAAAGACAAAGGTTAATTAAGACTCTTCAAAGTGGAATGGTGTGTTTTCTAACTATTAAATGTATTTTTAAAAATCTCAGTCATTAATAGCAAAATATTATATTGCCTTTTAGCAAACTAAATTTCTAAATGCAAAGAAAAGCCTAAATTCTTACTTCCAGTGCTTGAAGCAGCAAAGTCACTCTTTCATCTCCTGACTCCTGGCAAAACCAAACCAAACCAAATCAAACCAGCACACACACACACACACACCAAACAGATAAGAATTTATTCAACATTAATTCATTAAATGAAAATATACTGAGTGTTATGGTTCAGGCATCAAGCTAGATCAGAGGAAACAGGTATTAAAACTATAGCGGGTAGGCCAAATTTTGGTCTACTCTGTTATTGTGCAACCTACAAACCAAGAATGGCTGTTGTATTTTAAATGAACAAAAAAAGTCAAAATGACATTTTGTGACATGAAAACTATATCTGATTCAAATTTCAGAATCTATAAACTTAAACACTTAGTCACACTCATTTTCCAAAAAAATATTTTGTATATAGGTGCTTTTGAGCTACAACAGTAGGGTTGAAAAGTCACTGCAGATATGATTCTCAAAGCCCAATATATTTACAATCTGGCCCTTTACAGAAAATGTTTGCTACATCTTCAACTACACTCAACCTGTATTTCCTAAAAATTACTGAGTGCATAGAAATGTATAAGTGATTAACAATAAGTGAGATAAATGATGCATTTGATGTAGTACAAATATACTTGCTTCTTTTCTTGTCCTTTCTCCAAGGCCGTCAGCTGTCTTTGCTAATTCATCCTACTTGAAGAACAAAATTCTTCCTATTCTGTACTCCTTACTAATTTCTTCTACATAAATAAATTAAATAAATGATCATAAGTGGTCGTTTAATTCATTTAATTAAATGATCACTTATGTATCAATAATTTCATTATTTTTATGCATACTTTGAGATTCAGACTTATGTATCTAAATGTCCCCCGTAATACTTCCTATAAGAATCTTATGTATCTGCTTACCCAAATCCCCAAATTCTTGAACTTCTCATCTATAATAGGTGCCTGAGTCAGAGCCTGTATATTCTTCCTCAAACCCTATGTCCAATCTATCAAAAACTCTTATTCATATTACTGCTTGAGTTTCTCTTGTATTTGCCTCTAGTCCAGGCAAATATCATTTCTGACTTCATAATTAATCTTTTTACTTTCAGTCATATGTATCTCCTTTCTTTTTGGTTCATTTAGCACACTAAAATTGGTCCTTCCCTACTTAAAACATTTCAGTGAGTGTCCTTTATATTTAAAATGACAGAAGGAAAACCATTGCTCCTAGTCCAACAGAAGCCAATGGGAAAATGGGTTTTAAGAAAACTGAGCAATTCCACTAATAGTTTGTGAGATGCCAAGTGGGATGATTAAAATGTACACCAGGAATAATGGTATGGGAATCATTCCTGGCTTTAGTAAGAGTAGATTAGTGGGGAAAGAAGTATCTGGGGAGTACATATAAACATAGCAAGTGGTTAACTTTTAAGAACTTATACTATAAAGAGTAAAAGTAGGGCAAGTACAGTAACTACAGGAGAAAAAGGATCAAAGGAATCTTTCTTATTTTATTTTATTTTCAGTTTTTTGAGACAGGGTCTCACTATATGTTTTAAGCAGGCCTTGAACTCAATCTGTAGCCTCAACTGGCCTCACACTAAAGAGTGATCTTCCTGTCTAAGATTTCCAAGTGCTAGAGTTATAGGCATGTGCCAACATGCCCAATGGTCTTTTTAAAAAGACAAGATGAACCAATATGTAAATAAACACTCATGTAAGCCAGTCAAGAGAGAGAAACTGTTATTTAAGGAGCAAAAGAGATGATCAGCAAAAATGAGAAAAAAATAGGAAAGGAGAAACAAAATATAGGTGGAAGGACTGAATCTTAACGAAAGCTGAAGAAGTATCTCCTTCCACTGGGATTGGTTAGATGCATTTGCAAGTAAGCTTATAGCTCTTAATGACCTTTATTTTTCATATGAAAAGGATATGATATCATTTACCAAGAATAAGAGCAAACATACGGAGAGGTTCAATGTGAACTGAACATCTTAAACCCTCTTTATGAGAGTAAGATGGCCCCGGAAAATATTAAGAATTACCAGTGATAGTGAAACAGGTGGTGATTATAAATTTATAGGATCACCAATCTATGCTGTTATGAGATTTTCCTTCTTTCACTAGACATAAGGTAAGAAATCATACTGCAGAGTTCACCCAGAATTTGACAGCTTCAGGATCGTGCAATAAAAATTAGAAAAGAGAAACAGACATTAAGATTTCAGTAAGAACTATTGAAATAATGAAACAGAACCTAAACTAAATAAGAAGGAAATGAGAATAAAATGCTACAATGCAAAGATTAAAGGATTATTGAACAGGTAAGTTAAAGTACAGTACACAGTGAGGGCTGAAGATGTACTTCAGTAGTAGAGCATGTGCTTAGTATGTGAAAGGCTTTGGCTCAAAACCCCAGAACCTCGCGCCCCACCATCACAAATAGGGTTAATGTTTAACAAGAAAGCTTGAAACCTAGGAACTAGCATTTAGAAATCAGGATGCCTGAATCTATAATTTTGTAGGCTCAGAAATTTCATCTACTAACAAGGAGTACAAAAGTGGATGGCTGCAACAGAATGAAAAATAAGATCACTGGAGAAAGATCTTTGTACTGAAAAAAGACTAGATAACAAAAAGATTATTCATATAGATGTCTACATCCCATAAACTTAAGAAAAATGATTGCGAGTCACATGCCAAGTTCAGTGATAGGAAGTCCATGGATAGTGTTAACAAACCACAATTAAAAATTCAATAAAAAAAGAACCACTCATAATCCAGAAGTTGTCTTGAAGCCAATCTTTTGCAGTCTATTTTCTTTCCTATGATGTACCAAAACCTGTATTTCAGATTATATCCTTACAGTCAAATTTCACTTTATCTCCATTCCTACATGGTCTCAGTTGCAATCAACATTGCTGGCTAATTAACTCTTCCATCTGGAATTTTTTTTCCTGTCCATGGTTTCCATTATGTTAGTTTCTTCTCACTCTTATAATGTTCCTTTTCTTATTCATTTTCTGCATTTTAACTATTCACATGACTACTGTCTAAAGTATTTTTTGATCCTGTTTTTCTCCTTCAAGATATTCCTCCTTAGTGATGAAAACAATTTTTGTGATTTCAGCTATTTTCTTTTAGTAGCACCTTTGCAGTAAGGGCTCCTATAAGTACACACTTTTACTGTTCCCAATATTGATCAGTATTGTTCAATGTATTGTTGATGCCTTACCAAACATTTTCATTTAATATTTTACTTTAAATTCAACAAATTGAAATTATTCTATATGAAAAACTAGTGCTATACCTTACCACCCATCTACGTGGTAAACTATTTTCCAGATGATATAGATTGTAAATCACCTAGTCATCTCTGACTTATATTTGCCATCCTTTTTACTCACTTCTGATTCATTCATAACACCCTATATATGCTTACAAATGGCATAGTCAAGAAATGTAGACTGAATGGATCACCAAATCTATTCTTTTTAACAGATTTTATCCATCTTTTCACCATTGTGACATTCATCATCTAAATTAGCCCTCATTACTTTGTATCTAGCACTTTTTAATCTCACCCCTGTATTTTGTTCTGATATTTAGCCCCTCACATTGCAACTACTATGTGTCTCTGGCACACTAATATTGTTTTAATCCTATTGCTTTCTTGCTCAGTGTTTCAGTATTCTTCAGTAGTCAATTTAGTTTGAAGAGAAAACTACAAACAGTAGGTAGCCCCAACCAACCTTTAAAACAGTATCATCTACTACTTCTTTACATGAAATCTCTGCTCTAACCAGAAAGACTTTTGCTATTCTGGAGTATGCCATGCTCATTACTTAAGTATTCTTTATAATTTATTTTCCTCCAACAACATGAAATGAAGTTCAAATTCCGTCTTCTAAAAGTAGTATCTGCTAGTCACTCAAACTCATTTTCTTTCAATTTTGTAATTTCTAAAACATTCCCTTAAGTCCTGCTAATGCTAGAATTTTATAATGCCATATTATTGCTTTTCATCTGCTATATGTATTTTAAGAAATGAATTAATATTGTTTTCCTTAGTAACATTAAAACTCCTTAAGGGGAGAGAATATATCAGTGATTTTGCTATTGTTTTCAAATACCAAGCCTAATAAACCATCAAAGAATATTACTTAAAAATGGTATGGTTCTTTCCAATCACCATCTCAAGTAAACTATTATACATTTCTTTGGTTGTATATCTCCTTTAGTATTATTATGAATTTCACTTATCAGTAAAATATGCCTAACAAATCAGAAGTTTCAAAAAGCAGAATTCATTCTTTTAAATTACTTAAACCCATTATGCTGTGTGTAAAGGCATTTTTTAAATACCTTGTATTTAAACAAATCACACAAATTGCTGATACTTCACAAACTACATCAGATACTCTCTGTATTACACCCATGAAATTTTTCTGACTACTGCATACATTTTCATATCACTGGATTACCTCTTTTTTTTTCTCCCATTTTCCCTCCAAAAAGAGAAGCATTGTTTCTTCCAAGTCAATAGAGGTTTATATAATTAACATAATTCATTAATTTCATAAAGATAGGTTATTCTATCTGTATCTATATCCTTTACATCTAATACAGCAACTAATGTTTACAGACATGAATGTTAACTGAATTGAGTCCTACAAGCTATAAAAAAATTCATAGTTTCATGGCAACAAAACAGAATGAGATCTAAGCATTAATACTGCAATGCAGAATGTTACAGAGAAAAATGATATACCAGGGTGAAATTTATACTCTTTCAATCAATATACTTTTTTTCCGACCTAGAAAACATTGCCATTTAAAAGATGAACTAAAATTTTACAAAGATTTTATTTTCTTAAATATATTCTGCTGGTTAATATCAGAACTAAAACTAGAATCAAATTCTGTACCCTACCCTCTAGTTCGAACATTTAAAAAGAATCATCAACATGTAACTACCAACCAGCTGCTACTTGAACTGAGACACTGAATAGAAGGACAACTATGAGCAATGAAGAAGGGAAAGGGAAGAGAAGAAAAGGAGGATAATGGGAGTAAAAATAATGAAATTATATCATATGTCAAATGAATAACAATATGCCAAAATGAAACCCATTATTCTATGTAACTAACATACAAGGGATCTCAATTGGCCCATGTAATATGTTTATCTTATTTTCTCCTGTCAACTCTTCCACAAAACACAAATATAAAGATAATAAAATATGCACAACTAAGCATACTCAACTAGTGATGACATGTTTTTCTAACCAAACCAATCTTCCTGCTGAGGATAGTAATTTCAGCTGGACTTTCGAAAACAAAAGGTTAAGGGCATATAGATACCAACTGCTAACATGACATCCCAATTCCTATTATTTGAAAATAATCATAGGCTTTGGTTATATTTCTAAGCTAATAATTCAAAAATATCTATTTTCAGGTCTGACTGTGCAAGTTTCAGATTCAAATTTCTTTCTGATTGCTTTCTTAATGTGCAGTATTCCTCATTTCAGTTAATGAACTAATTTCGACCCTGAAAAATAGCACTGTAATTGATCCCTCTTTCTTCATAACAATTTGCTAACAAGGTCTATTTTCCATTCTTTTTATTTGACTCCAATACTTATTCCACATCAGCCTGTTCCGGCTCCCCAAATCTCTGAGAAGGCACCTCAAATAGAATAATTACTCATAAACTGAACCTCCAAATCTATACTACCACCAATTATCTAAAATACACACCTGTGTCAATTTTCAAAATCCTTTGAATAATCTCCAATAGATGAAGTCTAATATTTTTATCAAGGGAAAACAAACCCTTAAGTGCTACCTGCTTATTCTGCTCATGGTACAAAATCAAGCAAATGCCAATTGTTAGTAACGAACCACAATGTTGGCTTCATTCACTAATTCCTTCTAATTGGGCAGGTTAATTCTGAAGCCAAGTAAAGCACACCTGAGATTCTTCTTACAGCTTCCTTCCTCTTTATCCTCTCTTGCACAAAGATATAAAACATATTACATCAGAACTCCTGAGTTCCCACAGCATTATAAATTTTCTCATTGACATAGCTGGCATTCTATTCTTCACTTCCCTATTTAGTACAATCTATCATACATGTATATACGTAGATACTCAATGTCAATGCAAACGTAAATAAAAAGGTACTATCACAAATTCTACATTTTTCCTTTGCACTGACAAGGTTAAAATTGTATTTTACATTTTATGCTTATATGAATTGGATACTCCAAGCAATAAACATTCTATTATCATATTAAGGAAAACTCTTTTAGGAGCAGTTACTCAATAAAAATTCAAGTATCTATAGAAAATAAAGTTATACATCATATTATGAAGAAAAACAATTCAGAACTACAAAAGGCGATCAGAAGAGAAAATTAAATTTCCAATAAAAAGAGGTAATATTATTTACATACTTATATTTGAATGTCATACATATTATTACTAATAAAACAGACTAGAATTATTCAATAAATAAAGTATCAACTTCAGAAAGACATCTGATAAATGTTCAAACTATACGATGTAAATATTCAGTGATGCAAGAAATAAATGCATGCAAACATAATGAAGACAATTCATAAACTGGTGTGCTAATGAACTTGAAGAGTTTATGAACATTACCAAAACATAATTCAACTTGTAATGTTTTTTCAAAAATCCAAAAACAGCAAAGGATTAGAAACTTGGTAAAACTGTTCTAGTACACAATACTTTTTAAAATTTCTGGTATTGAAAAGGAATTCAGTCCTAAAATGATTTGCCTGTAAGTTATGATAAATCAGATGTCACTAAATAGGCAGATATCAGAAGACAGAGAAATTAAACATTAAAGGCTAATTCTACTTCACACCTATATATAGGGTACCATCTCTGCCTCATCCAACCTTCCAAAAATTTTAAAAAAACAACATATACACAGAAAAACTTGCTCTTTTTATGGCTTTGAAGACAAATAGTTGTTTCTGGGCAACTCTTCAATGTTTTAGCTCACCACTGTTAGTGACATTTCCTTTCATAATATTGTTCACGCTTTTAAAGAATCACCATTACATCAGACACAGCAGGAAACACTTGTAGTCTCAGGCATTAAGGACGCTGAGGCTAGAAATCACTTGAGCACAGGAGTTTGAGGTCAGGACTGGGCAATACCTTTTTTTCATACTGGGAATGGAACTCAGGATCTTGGGCTTGTTGGGCAGGTGCTATGCCACTGAGCTATATCCCTAGCCCAGACTGGGCAACACTATGAGACCAGGTACTTAAAAAAAAATTATTTCATCATAGTTTTGTTTTATTTTTGTACTGGGAATAGAACTCCGGACCTTGTGTTTGCCAGGCAGGCACTTGTGCTACTAAGCTGTATAGACGACTCTTCTTCATAGGTTCTGCACCTACTTGCAATTAAAAGAAACCAGTGTCCTGAGCTATAATATGTAGAGAATTAATCATGAGCCCTGAGCTATAATTTGCACAGATTTAAAGTTGCATTTTTATATGTAACAGCTAAATCTTAAACAGCACTGTACTTTTTTTTTCCTGCACTAAGTAATTCTCATTTTATACTCTTTCAATTCTTAAAATATGTAAATATTGGACACTGTGACATTTTGTCTCATAAATACAAATGGGCACAAAAGTGGAATAACTGCCTGATTTTCTTCAAATATGAATCTCTTTCATAACTTTTGTCAAGTTTTAATTTCCATGTTCTGTTCTTGATTTTCTTTCTGCAGGCCTATTTGCTACTCTTTTTCTCACCAAATATAATATACCCACACACCATAGGACGTACTTTTTAAAACTTTCTGCCTATACAGTCGTTCCCATTTCATCGTAATATAAGCTTTTAAAAATACTGTTTTCTAGATTTACAAGTGTCTGTAAATACTTGAATCTCACATTAAACATTGTTCCTCCATACAGACGATAGTCTCATTATACGAGCTTCAAATACACTATCTGAAATGTATGATTTTACATGTGAAATATTTCCTCTTCATACAAAGCTATTATCTGAAATCCTAAAATACTGAATTTCCTTGCTCTAAAGCAACTTCTGTTCAACGTTACATCCTCTCTCTATTAAAATACGATTATTTTCACTCATGGTCCAGCGCCCCCCCGTCCCACCCCACCCCCGGGACGAATTTGCTATTCCTGCCGACTGCGCGTGTCCTGCCTACCTGAGAGAATTTTCCAGAATGTTTTGCTCACACAAGAGCGTCGGCCATGTTGGTTTCTCTCTCCAGTGGAGCTCTACTGTCTGCCTTTGAAACTTGAGCCACTTAGTCCTGCAGAGCCAGGACAATGGCAAAAGGCATCAGGTTCTAAGGAGATTCACTTGCCCGGCAGAAAGCGCTCTCTGAGCTCCGGTTCAGCAAACACAAGTGCTCCGCACTTAAGTGACGCACTCCGGAGGGACTGAAGCCTTTCAATTTCAGACCTCAGAGAAACCCGAGGACCGGAGTCCAGCTGACAGACGGCGAGAGGCGGGTGCGTGGATATTCAAAAACAGTACTTACCAAGGCGAGGCGTTGCCTGAATTTTCCTCTGCGGGTTTCAGGAAGACCCTCTGAGGGTTACTGGACATTTTAAGAGTGGCGGGGGACAGTACATCTAGGAACGTGGGTAGTACACAGCTAGAATTCTCTCGGGGGAGAGAACCAGAGCGAGAGAATATCGGGCTGCAGCTGCCAGCAACTACGGAGTGCTGGGGCGGGCTTTCCTGAAGGGCGTATCCCCAGCCTCTGAAGAGAGGCGGCGCACTTCCGAAAGGCCGGAAGATTTGTGGAACAGACGCCGCCCTCCAAACTCTAGGGGTGCCTAGAATCGGTCCAAATCTCCGCCCCACAGAGCTACGCGACTGCTCCGCAGCCATCACTGGCGGACGCGGAGAGGTCTGGTTTTCTGGCACCGCCTCCATCAGAGCCGGCTCCATTTAGAAGACTGCGTTGGGCTCCGCCCATCGACGCCGCCAGCCAAGAGCAAAACTTTGCTGGTGGCTTCTGCCTTCGTCACGTCCGGCTCCCAAGGTGAATGGCTTGCTAACGCTCCGCCCTTATGATGCAATCCAATCACAAATCAAGTTTGTTGTTTCTTCTTCCGGATCAAGGAACTAATCATACAATTAGAGTCCCTTGATATCTATGCAAAGAAACTGCTTCCGGGGTCATTGGAAAAGTTTCTGCTTTTAAGCTCGCTTGCCTAAATTTTTCTCGCCTGCCAATGTTACAAAGACATCAGTGGGCTTTTTGAAGTCGTCCTGAGTTCCTGATGTGAGAGATTTTAGACGCTTCCTGTGGCTCGCAATTTATTGTTCCCAGTTAAAAAGAAGTGTCTTTTTTTCCCTTTTTACCTAGACTTTGCTTCTACACCCACTACACCTTCCTTCTCTACTGTGGTCATGCTTTGGTCAAATTATAAGTGTCATATAGGTGATTCATTCATTCACTCCGAGTTTTGTTTCCTATAAAAAGTTATTTTTATTACTCATGTATGAAGCCAATTGAAGGGTTATTTTAGTCTTCTTAAAACATTACTACTCATTCCCCTAACTTCTTAATGAGGTAGTACCAATTGAGGAATTCTTCTGTCCAACTATATTTGACTTTAACTACTGTTCACTGTATTAAAGGTTACTTCAATTACAAAGCACTTTATAACTATTGATTATCTTCAAGCTTCCATCTCCAACACCAAAGAAAGGACAGGGTGGTGAGCCCTTAATATTTAATTCTGTTCATCCTCCAGTCTCCAAAAGCAAACTTACTTGAAAGAATCACCCATTCTTGCTTATTAAATTTTATTCCTTACTGTTTATTATTATTATTATTTTTCAATCTGGCTTCTTAAATCCATAACCACTCTCAATAAATAAGACTCAGTATCACAATTTGAGTTACCTGAGAAGGAAACTCTTAGGATGGACTTTGGTTTGCAGCAAGCTTATTAAAGACCAGTTTCTGTGAAGGGAAGGAGAGAAGGCAAAATTTGGCAAGCATGAAATTAGAATGTGCTTCCTAGTTTAAACAAAGACATTAGCCTCACAGAAATCTAAAGTCAGAATGAAAATTCAAAGTTCATTCCAGGAGGGTGATTGAAGGAGGCTTTATACCCCATAATAATCAATTACCGCATTCAGGCTGTGATGCAAAAAGGCTTATGCACTCAGAGAGGAGAAAAATGCCATATTCAAAGAGCCTGAGCGCTGAGAATGTCTGCTGGTAGCATGTGTGGCACAGGGGCAATGAGCTTTTCATTCCTAGGAGAGTCCTGAGTTGTACATTAGGAAATCGACTGTGCTCGCTATCTGACTCAAGCAACTGCTTATTACAGTGGATGCCATTTATGATATTCAGTTATAATATTTCCAAAGCAACACTATTAATTATTTGATCTCTTGATAAGATTGGAAATATGCTTTCCTGGTTTTACCCTTACCTTTTTTCTACTTGTCTTTAGTGTCTTTGGATGTTTCATCCCTCTTTTTCTGCATAAGGGAATTTTAAAAATCTTGATCATTGATCCTATGTTTTCTTTTTTTTCAAACTGTCCTGTCTACCTGGGTGACTTCACCCATGACTGGTTTGTATTGTTTTTATGTATTGTTATATTACCAAACACACATATAATATATACTAGAAATTGTTCTAAGTTATTTCCAAATATTAACACATTTACTTATAATAACTAGTAAAACATTACACACAGATAAATAAATGACCTACAGGCAATAAAAATAGCTTTTCAGAAGTTATGAAGTTTCTAAATAATGGAGCACATTTCCAAATCTAGGTGGTCTTTCTGATGATGTTATGTATTTTACCATTATTATGCTACCATTTAACTCATAAATTTATATCCCCAATTCTTACTTCCTTTCTGAGAGGCACTGGATTTCCAAATGCATTGTTGAGATCTTTGAAATTTTAAAAGCTTCTTCTAATGAAAACATGTTCAAAATAATACATGACTTTCTCCTCCCCACAAAATAATTTTCAATTTGCAGTGTTCTATCTCCTGGAAGAAAGATGTTTGTCATGCTTGTCCTAATCCTAATCCCTGCAACTCACGCAGAGATCTGAGGTCTGATAGCATTCTTTATTGACAAGCATGAGCAGGGTATATCTTGATTTGGTAACTGACCCAAAGCTGAAGACCCTAAAAGAAAATAATGCAGCCAAATTACAAAGAATTTTCTTTATTTATATATTTTTATGATCTTTTTTGTTTGTTTTATGCTTTATGTTTTGGGTTGGTGTGTTATTATTGTTTCTTTTTTTATTTTTTCCTTTTTTATTCTCTAATGTTTTGAGGTTTGGGGAATTTTCCTTTCTTATTTTTTCTTGTGTCTTAGCTCTTTTTCTTACCTTTTTTTCCTTCTCCCTTTTGAATTTTCTACTTTAATGTTTTCATATTTTGATACTACATAATTCATTTCTTCCTTTTAAAAATCTACTTCTTGGTAGTTTTTCTTGTAGCTTTAGCTAATTTATAAATATCTTTCTATTTCTCAATAGGATCCTTTGCACTTCTTCTCTCTACCCTTTTCATATCATAGAGTTTAAAATATCAGAATTTCTTCTTGCATTCCCCAATTACCAAGCTCTATATTTAATAGTATAATTAGTATTTTGATAGTTGGCTCTGTAAAATTAGTGTTGAATTCGTTTAGTAGAAATATAAATGCTATTTTTAATATATATTAGCAATAAGTCTATACCTATACAGTCTTAATATTTATATCATAATTATGGAGTTCATCAGTAGTATTAAGACTGTTAAATAACAGGTTTTTATAGCATATTAATGTCCAATTTGTCTTGAGTAAAATAGTGCAGCTGATTCACTTGATATTAACAGGTTTGTGTAACTGTCTGTATTTCTTTGTAAACAAACATACATTTCTGACATTACCAATACAAGAGTTCATTTGGATAACTTGTTTGTTGACCTAACTACATTGGATTCTCTCAAATTAATATACAGATTGTTGCATCTTGGGGCTATTATGAAATATTATAGCTCTTAAAGCCCAAAATGAATCACAGAAAAGCAGCTAAAGAAATTTCTATACTAAGCAATGAAGTTTAGACTATAAGCATACACAAGCCTCAGTGAAAAACAAAGCAGACACTAGAAACATGAGAAAACAAGGCAACAAAATGCTTTCCAAAGCCCCAGGCACCACCAAAGTTACTCCAAGGAGTGCTGAGGAACAGATTAATAGCATCAATAAAAATGCAAACCACATATGGTGACTCAAAGCCTATAATGCCAGTATTCAGGAGACTGGAGCAGGAGGATTGTAGCACCTTAATGGCCAGACTGAGTTACGTAGGGAGATCAAGGCCAGTCTGAACTATATAGTTAGATGCTATCTCAAAAATTAAAAACAATAAAAGAAAAATGAAATATTTAATAATCAATCTAACAGCAAAGTAAAAGAAACTGTATGTTGAAAACTACAGTACACACAAAAAGAAAATTTAAGAGGATACTAGAACATGGAAACATATTAATTTGGCCTTGGATAGGCAGAAGCAAAATAGCAAAAATGATTGTCTTTCCAAAACTGTTATATAGATTTAATCTGGTCTCAAACAAGATACCAATTGTAAAATTCATTTGGAACCACAAGAGACACAGAATAGCAAAAACTATTCTGGACAGCAAAAGCAAGGCATTGGGCATTACAATCCCCAACTTGAAATTATACTACAAAGCTACCATGTTAAAAAAAAATACAGCATGGTATTGGGGAATAAAACAGACACGAGGATCAATGGAGCAGAACAAAGAAGTGCAGAAATAACTCCAAAGACACTTGGCCTCCTTATCTTTGACAAAGAGGTCAAACACCTTCACAGGAGGAAAGACAGCCTCTTCAATAAATGGTGCTGGGAACACTGGCTTTCCACATGCCAAACATTAAACCTAGATCCATATCCCTCACTGTCCCCTAAATGAAAATTGAAATGGATTCCAGATCTAAATATTAAAACAGAAACACACAATCTGTTGGGAAAAAGGTAAAATCCTTGAAGAAACAGATGTAGTCTAACACTTTATGAACAAAATGTTGGTTGCACAGCAAATATAAGAATCAACAACTTGGATCTCATTTTAATAAAATCAAAGCAAATAAAAATAAAAGCAAAAGAAACACCCTGCAGAGTAAAGAAACAACCCACAGAATGGAAAGAGGTTTTCATCAGCTATTCCTTAGACAAAAGGCCAATATCTAGAAGGTATAAATAAAAAAATCAGGTCCATAAATTTAAAGATTCAGTCCAAAAATGGGTGTTGGAAATTAATAGATACTTCTCAGGTAAAGAGACAGAAACTATTAATAAACATATGAAAAAATCACCACTGAGATTCCATCTTACTGTAAAAACAATGATAAGCCAATGAAACAATGCCAAAGCTGTGGGGAAAAAGAACCCTTTTCAATTCTTGATAGGAGTGTAAATTGGCAAAATCAATATGGAAATCAATCTAGAGATTCCTCAAAAAATAAAAGTAGGTGTTCCATTTGACTCAGTTATTTTGCTTCTAGATATCTTCCTGAAAGAGTTAAATGCATCACACCACAACATTATACATACATCCATGTATCTAGTAGTACAAATTGTGATAGTTGTGTCTTGGAAATAGCACAGATGCCCATCAATGAATGAATGGATAAAGATAATGTGTTTTTTATGTACACTAGTCTATTTTTATGTTCTAGTCTGCCATAAAGAAGGATAAACTTCAGACACGTTTAGGTAGATGGATGTACCCTGAAATGAAATGAAATAAGAAAGGCAATATCACAATATCTTTCTTATGCAAGAAGCCAAATAGGGTTAAAATGTATGATAGACATTGAGAAGAAGAAAATGTCCTAATGGAAAGGATAACAATAGAGAAGAGAAAGGAGGCAGAAAAGAAAGGGAAAAGGAAAAAGGGCTGAAA